GAAACGTTACGAAACGTGAATTTTATTAAAGTGCTTGGATCAAATAAATTTTAATATAACAAGAAATTCAGTAAAATTGAAACAACATTTAATAAAGTTATCAAATTTAATAAAAATATGCGGAACGTTTTGGAATCATATCAATAAAAATAGTTCTAACAAATAATAAGGTTAGGACTAATTAAAAATTATGACGTTACTCACCATTGAGTCTAAATTTAAAAACAAAATAATCAAGTGTTATTAAATATTCTAGTGCTCCTAAAAATTAAAGTACTTCATGATGAAGATCCATTGGTCCAATTGCATATCCATCCACCGCCGTCTAGCATACTAATTTTTACCTGAAAATTGTAAATAAAGAGAGATGAGTATAACGAATTATACTCAATGAGATGCTTGCTACTGCACATTCAAATCAAACGTGAAATTTTATATAAATTCTCTTACCAACATAACATGAGAATTATCACACCATGACAAATGATAATTCAAGCAAGCGCTGCAAAATAACATGAAGGCTAAATTGTGCCTTGAAAATAACGTGAAGGCTAAATTGTGCCTTAAACTGTATCATGATTTCTCCCGAAGGAGCCCTGAACTGAAGTAATCAAATTCATATATAATAACGTATTTGAATAGATGTGGAAAAACCACTAATAGCATTGAGCATCTCACCTTCCGTAATGAATCTCGTATTATATGCACTTGGAAAGCAAATTGTGGGAACTTGTTTGCTGAGATTTTTCTCTTGGTTGCTTGTGAAATTGAATAAAATATAGTAGACTGCTTTGGGTATAAAGCCTTAGTAATATAGAGGAAAACTTAGAGAGGAAGAGATAGAATGGATACGTTGCAAAAAGCTGAAGGTTTACTGCTATATATATAGTAAAATAAAGCATGGCGTAACGGTAGGGTAATCACGTAGGATTCATTGTCGAAGTGGAATTACATTGGGATTTGAATTCTATATTCCGTCCAGAAATTGTACTAAAATCCTATTCATTAATCTGATTGGAGATTTCTAATTAAGATTGGTAAGTTAAATAATCAACTACAATTATAAATGTACATCTTGTGCACACGTGAAAAGGTTAGATAAATTGGATCTCTTAATTGCATGTATAGACATATTTTATTCTAATAAATCAACTTAAATAGATAATTAATTACTCTCTTGTCTTCGATTAAATCAAAATGAATGGAAGAGTGTTTCAAATGAAATAACTTAACTAGTTTAATTTATTGGAGTCCTAATTATTCTAACATTAAGATTATTAGGAAACTTCATCATAATCCAAATCCTACATGATTAAGAACAATAGTTTCTATCCTAATTAAAGTAGATTAGCATTAAAAAGGAATTTAATAGTTTTCGGAAAATTAGTATGATTACGTTTTAATCAATTATCTTTAAATTTCATAATTATCAATACTTAACAGATATTATTCCTAGTGGCCAAGAATTGTAAACTGTATGCATAGTAATTAGATTAGAATTTCATTTATACCTTGATTCTTCCATTGATTCCATCTTAATTCAACTTATCCAAAATATCATTTTCTTAATCCTAATATATATAATTAATTGTTATCTATCAAAGGAGTCCAATATTGATATAGTAATTTAGTCCATATTGATAACTAATATTATTAACCAAGTAATTTTCTTAATTGGCTATAACTCGAGTTTAACTTGACCAAATTAAATTTTTCTTGAGTTCATAATTCGCCATTTATTAAGAGCTTCAAAATGAGCCCAATATTGATAGGGTAATTCTAACTCCTTCAACAGTTAACTATTTGGCCCATTTAATAAAAGTATAATTTTGATATTTATTTTCACTTCGGTCCCTCAACTATAAAGATATCCACATAGATCCAAATTAACTATAAAGGTAGCCAATTAACTTGCGTAAGGACTAAACATTGCATTCCTATTAAATGGCAAATAAGTTATATGAAAAACTAAAAATATTTCGGGATTTTACAACCTACCCTCCTTAAAATAATTTCGTCCTTGAAATTTACCTTAGGTTAGTTGAAAAGTTTTGGATACTTGATTTTCATCTCATCTTCCTTTTCCCAAGTTGCTTCTTCCACTCCATGATAACGCCATAGGACCTTGATTAAAGGAATTTTCCTGTTCCTCAGTTTATGTGTCTTTCTCTCTAATACCCTCAATGGCATTTCTTCATAGGTTAAATCATGTTGTACATCTAAATTTTGATGGTTGATCACATGACTAGGATCCTGTAAGTATTTTCGCAACATTAATACATGAAAATTATTATGTACTACTGAAAGTTCTGGTGGTAGTGCCAGTCTGTATGCAACATCTCCAATTCTCTCTGATATATCAAATGGTCCAATGAATCTGGGTCTCAATTTTCCTTTCTTTCCAAACCTAACTACTCCCTTCATTGGAGCTACTTTTAAAAATACTTTGTCACCGATTTGGAATTCGAGATCTTTTCTCCTTCTATTAGCATAGCCTTTCTGCCTATCCTGAGCAGCCTTAATTCTATCTCGAATCTTTTCCACAGCTTGTACTATTTGATCAACGATCTCGGGTCCTAAGATCCTTCTTTTTCCAACCTCATCCCAATACATAGGTGATCAGCACTTCCTACCATATAATGCCTCATAAGGTGCCATGCCTATAGTTGCTTGAAAACTATTGTTATAAGCAAACTCTACTAAAGGCAAGTGTGTTTCCCAGCTGCCACCAAGATCTAGTACACACGCTCTTAACATATCTTCAAGTGTTTGAATTGTCCTTTCAGATTGTCCATCAGTCTGTGGGTGATATGCAGTACTAAATTTCAATTTTGTTCCCATAGCGTTTTGTAGACTTTTCCAAAAATTTGATGTGAACCTCGGGTCTCTATCTGAAATAATTGAAATGGGGACTCTATGTAACCTGACTATTTCTTTTACATAAACTTGTGCATATTGTTCCATAGTGAATGTCATCTTAACTGGAAGAAAGTGGGCCAACTTTGTAAGACGATCCACTATTACCCAGATAGCACTGTTTCCTTTAGCTGATCTCAGAAATCCTACCACGAAATCCATGGTAATTTGTTCCCATTTCCACTCCGGTATATCTAGTGGTCTAAGCAACCCTGAAGGTCTTTGATGTTCTGCTTTCACTTGCTGACAAACCATACATTTACTTACAATAATTCCTATTCCTCTTTTCATATTTCTCCACCAAAATGCATTTCGAAGGTCTCGATACATTTTTGTACCGCCTGGATGTGTTGTATAAGGGGTGAAGTGTGCTTTTTCAAGAGTTTCTTTCCTTAGACCCTCGTCTTTAGGAACACATAATCTGCCTTTATACATAAGTACCTTATCCTTAGTTATTGCAAATCCCTTTTGCTTATTTGTCCCAACTTCAGCCATAATTTTACACAAAAATGGGTCATTCTTTTGGGCTTCTCTAATCCATTCTCTAAGGGTGGGTTGAACCATTAGAGCTGCAACAATTGCTTTCTGTACTGAAGGTGCAACAACATCTAGCCTCAAATTATCAAATTCTTTAATTAACTGGTCTTGAGTGGTTGGAACTGTCAACTATCAGCAACTACATTGGCTTTACTTGGGTGGTAAAGAATGGTGCAATCATAGTCTTTAACCAATTCTAGCCATCTTCTTTGTCTCATATTTAACACCTTTTGAGTAAAGAAGTATTTGAGACTCTTGTGATCCGTATATATCTCACATTTTCCACCATAGAGATAGTGACGCCATATCTTTAGAGTGTGGACTACTGTCGCAAGTTCTAAGTCATGTATTGGATAATTCTACTCATATGGTTTTAATTGTCTAGAGGCATAGGCGACGACTTTTCCATGTTGCATCAACACATATCCCAATCCTTGTTTAGAAGCATCACTGTATATAACAAAACCTTCTGAACTATCTAGTATTGTCAATACTGGTGCTGAAACCAATCTTTGCTTCAATTCTTGAAAACTACTTTCACACTTATCCGACCATTGGAACTTTACTCCCTTTCTAGTTAATTATATCAATGGACCAGCTATCTTAGAAAATCCTTCAATAAATCTTCGGTAATAGCCAGCTGGACCTAAGAAACTACAAACTTCACCTACATTTGTCGGCCTAGACCAATTTGTATGGCTTCAACTTTAGCTGGGTCTACCTCAATTCCTTAAGCAGTAACCACATGACCAAGGAAGTCAATACGATCCAGCCAGAATTCACATTTTTTGAATTTGGTGTACAACTTCTCCTTTCAAAGAGTATTCAGTACCACTCCCAACTGTTCTTCATGTTTTTGCTTATCCTTTGAGTATACCAATATATCGTCAATGAAGACTATAACGAATTGAACTAGATATGGATGAAAAACTACGTTCATCAAGTCCATAAACACAACTGGTGCATTGGTTAAACCAAATGGCATCACTGTAAACTCATAGTGCCCATAACGTGTTCTAAATGCTGTTTTAGGAATATCATAATCCTTTATCTTGAGTTGGTGATAACCTAATCTCAAATCTATTTTTGAGAACACCTTTGCATCCTTCAATTGATCAAAAAGATCCTCTATCCTTGGGAGTGGATATTTGTTCTTTATAGTCAAATGATTAATTTCTCTATAATCAATACACATCCTCATTGACCCATCTTTCTTTTTAACAAACAATACCGGCGCTCCCCATGGGGATACACTAGGCTGGATGAAACCCTTATCCAATAATTCCTGTAGTTGTATCTTCAACTCCTGTAATTCTTTTGGTGCCATCCTGTTAGGAGCTTAGATATTGGTACTGCCATAGGGGTTAAGTCAATAGTGAACTCTACTTGTCTATTTGGTGGTATACCAGGTAAATCTTCAGGAAAAAATCCACGAACTCATAAACCACTGGTACATCTTCTATTTTTCATTTAGTTTGAGGCTTACTAATAATATTTAATAAAAATCTTTGACATGTATTCTTTCTCAACATCTTTTCTGCTTTCATTCAAGACACCAATCGGGGTAGAGTCCCAATTCTTGTTCCAAAGAATCGACATTCTTCTTCTCCAGGTTTTTGAAATAAAACTTCCTTCTTATGGCATAAGATGGTTGCATAATTTCTACCCAACCAGTCCATACCCAAAATTACATCAAAGTCTTTCATTCTCAAAAGGTACAAATAAGCTTTTAATACTTTTCCTTCGATCTCTAACTTAACATCTTTAACCATTTGATTGGTATTAATCACTTCGCCTGATGGTGTACTAACTTCTAAAATGTTATTCATTTTTATGAATTCATTCCCAATCTTATCCATGAAAATTGTAGAAATAAATGAATGGGTGGATCCAAAATCCATAAGGACAATAGCAGGTACGTTAGATACTGGTAACATACCTGTTATTACGTCTGCGTTCTGATCCTCCTTTTCTCCTGTCAAAGCAAATACTCTGGCCTTTCCCTTCTTAAGCTGATCACTTTCTCTCTTCTTCTCTGGACAGTCTCTAAGGAAATGACCACTCTTACCACAACTGTAGCATGCTCCATTTCGTTGAAGACATTCACCCAAGTGGCGCTTGTTGCAATTGGAGCATTGAGGAAAAGTTTTATTTGAGTCTAACCCAATCTTTCCTTTCTTATTCTGATTCCTGCCTTTCTCCTTATCATGACCTTGCCACTTTCTCTTTATAAAAGACTCGGTGCTAGGCTGGGTTTTCTTTTCCAGTCCTAAACTATTAGAGATTGCCTGTGCTCGACGTACAACCTTTGCATAAGTAGTATACTGCTGGGCTGCCATGCTTTCCTTAATCTCTGACCTTAACCCCATTTCAAACCTCTTAGCCTTTGTCAGCTCAGTGTTTACCATATACGGTGCATACCTAGAAAGTCGTTCAAATTTTCTTTCATACTCTCCGAGTGGCAAATTTCCTTGCGTCATCTGGAGAAATTCTACCTCCTTCTAATCCTTCAGTGATTGGGGAAAATATTTACCCATCAACGACTCCTTGAACTGGTTCCAAGTGAGGTTACGTTGTTGTTTTGTAGTTCTAGTAAGTATTTCCGACTCCCACCAATGTCCAGCATCATCAATCAACATAAACTTCGCACAGGAAACCTTTTGAGCATCGTTACAATTCATAAGCTCGAAGATCCCTTCAAGTCTTCTCAGCCACTCCTCAACCGCAAAAGGGTCACCTTTACCATCAAAGGATGGGGGTTTAAAATGACGAAACTGCTCAACAATCGAGCTCATGGTAGTGGCACCTTTTGTTGCATTATGAGGTGCCGCTTGAGCCTGCTGCCTGCCCAAGTCTTGCACTACCCTTAGTAAATCCCTGAACATAGTAGCTTGATCTTGTTGTCGTCGTGCCATTTCCTTGAAGTAAAAGTAATTTATCTTAAGAGCTGCTCAACCATACCACACTCTTCCTAACGGTCTTTCTATATTTAGTCATGTCTTTCGTGTATGTCATGCTAAGGCCAAGTGTTATGCATTAAGGTCTTAGTCACATGAGAATTATTTTACTAATCAATCCTACACAAAATAATCATATGCTTAATTAATATTCTCCTTTGAAATAAAATGACGTGCATGGAAAAACTCATGAGATTATGCAATTAATTACTATGCACTGAAATATAAATGGTAATATCAATAAACATATTCTACATCTTGCATACCTTAAAAATATTGGACAGTGGTAGATTGATGAGCATTGGATTCCACGAATCTCATAACTTATAAATTTTTGTAAAATTGTTTTTTTTTCTTGGTATAAAAGTTTCTAAAATGAAAGAATTTTCTAAAAATTTGAAGAGGGTTCAAACCATTGTTTTTCGTCTTATTGATTCGAATAACGCACAACTAAAAAGGCTTCCAGGTGAGAAGGGGGATCACAAGTGGACCGCTTAAATCCCAAACTCGCCTTGGATAGTTTAGGTCTTTTTGACAAAACCTCTTAATTTTACGAATACTCAAACTAAGAAAACTCAAACAATGAATTCTTCAAAAAAAAAAATTAAATATATATTGTTTTTTTTTTGAAATTAAAATTTTGAAAAAAAATCTACAGGAAAGTAAACCTTTGCTCTGATACCAAGCTGTAACGCTCCAAATTCTAGCAACCCGAAACGTTACGAAACATGAATTCTATTAAAGTGCTTGAAGCAAATAAATTTTAATATAACAAGAAATTCAGTAAAATTGAAACAACATTTAATAAAGTTATCAAATTTAATAAAAATATGCGGAACGTTTTGGAATCATATCAATAAAAATAGTTCTAACAAAAAATAAGGTTAGGACTAATTGAAAATTATGACGTTACTCACAATTGAGTCTAAATTTAAAAACAAAATAATCAAATGTTATTAAATATTCTAGTGCTCCTAAAAATTAAAGTACTTTATGACGAAGATCCATTGGTCCAATTGCATATCCATCCACCATCGTCCAGCATACTAATTTTTACCTGAAAATCGTAAATAAAGAGGGATGAGTATAACGAATTATACTCAATGAGATGCTTGCTACTGCACATTCAAATCAAACGTGAAATTTTATATAAATTCTCTTACCAACATAACTGAGAATTATCACACCATGACAAATGATAATTCAAGCAAGCACTGCAAAATAACATGAAGGCTAAATTGTGCCTTGAAAATAACGTGAAGGCTAAATTGTGCCTTAAACTGTATCATGATTTCTCCTGAAGGATCCCTGAACTGAAGTAATTAAATTCATATATAATAACGTATTTGAATAGATGTGGAAAAACCACTAATAGCATTGAGCATCTCACCTTACGTAATGAATCTCGTATTATATGCACTCGGAAAGCAAATTGTGGGAACTTGTTTGCTGAGATTTTTCTCTTGGTTGCTTGTGAAATTTGAAAAGGCTATAGTTCGACCCAACCAACACCTAGAGGGGGGGGGGTGAATATGTGACGCCCTGAACTTAAGCTTCAAGGGTCACCTACTAAACATAATAATTTCAGTCTTTGGTACATGTAGATACTCTTAAATAGAAGTATTACATGTTAGAAACTTATTTTCAATTTGGTAAAATAATTCTTATAAAATTTGATGGCCGGTAACAGTGCATGTCAACATGAAATTATACATTACATATACGGACTTGGCACGACCAAGGTTAGTTGGTGCAGCAAGTTTGACAATTTTTATAAAATTCATCCCAACTCCGTTTTACATGAAATTTGCAGCATTAGAAAGATAATTTCAAGTAGTTTTCTAGGTTAAAATATGAAAATTTTTTCAAGAACATATGATATGGACGTTTTACTGAAAACAGTGAAGTGTTACACAGGAAATCCAGATTGACCCTTTGACGTTAAAACCTTGATAACTCAGGCCATAGATATCCAAATTGAGTGATTTCTTCGGAAATATTTAGAAAACTCAAAGAGAAAAACAGAGATATTTTTATAGTCTCAAATGGACGTTTATAGAGTTAGAAACATTGTTTTGAAATTGACTCCAGAAACTGTCCCGTTTCTGCCTTTGTCTCTTGTAAGGAAAATAAACTACAAAAATGTATCTTATCATAACATGAAAGATATAATTACAAAATTTACTATTAATACCATATCACATCATGTCATGTACATAATTTTACATAATACCATAAGACAAACAGATGGAAAAACAGTCATCGAACAAAATACACAAAAGAAACTTTCGGTACAAAACGTCTTTGTCCTTAATCCATCATTGATTTTGTCAACTAACTTCCATCAATCCAACGATCATGGATCTGAAAATTTAGCATAACATACTATGAGTATAAGGAATACTCAGTAAGATACCATACTTGGATTTTTATCATGATAATACTACACAAAAGAATGCAATCAAACCCATACTTGCACATTTCGGCTTGCCGGTGCCCTTCGGACTTGTCCTAAGGAATAAATAGATATCTAACTTTGTGGACTTGTCCACCATAATCATATTATGGTTTTTCATGCATAGTTTAAGCATAAATATTGCCATGAAGATCATACCCCTTAAGCATAGAAAGTATCTTACCGTAAAACTTGAAGATCTTTGATTGAGATATAAATTGGAAGTGATAGGCTTACTTCCTTCTCCTTTCTTTTCTTATTTTCGGTTATTGCTCTCTATTTGAGTGTATAAGTGTTTGTAAAGTGAAGGAAATTTTCTCTATGTCAATGGATATGGATGTATTTATATATATATAAGGATAAGAATAAATGATTGTTATTTTTTTCTTTTTTCTTTTTTTCACTCCACCGCCTCAACCTCCTTTTCTCCCATTTTTCTTTTTTTTTTTCTTACTTGTACACATGTTTAGTCTATTGTCTAAGTGTATGGTGATGATGGATGACAAGTGGGTTGATTATAGGGTAATAAGTGGTCTCAAAACCTAGATTTACAAAGGAAGTCTCTTATCTTTTCAACTAATATAATCTAACCCCTCTAACTTTCATTATTAGCAAAGCATATCCCAAATTTAAACTTGTATCCAACTTACATATTCAAAAATTGTAGATTGCAAAATAATTTAATCATTTGTTCAATTGAAGTCCTAACAAAATAATCCACTTCATTTAAATCCAAACTTGCCTTAAGTTTCGATTAACTAATAATCACTTCATGCATACACAACCTTTAGCACTTCATGCTTGCATTCATTAGCTACCTCTAACATTAACCACTACAAAGGTGGTGTCCCCTTTTCCTTATGGCCAAAAAGAATATTGAAAGTGAAATAACTATCCTACGGAAATTTAAACAAGCATAAAATTCCGGAGTATTACAGAATAGGTGTCTATGCGGAATTTAACAATTTAATTAAGTTATGCAACAAGTCACATAAATTAAACGTTGTCCAAATTCATTCACATGATTTAACTACCTATGTTGAATTTCCGGTTGAATTGAAATTGACAGAAAGCAATAAATAACACAAAAATTGTTGACAGAGAAAATCCAACTGGGTAAAAACTCTGGGCACAACCCAGTAGGGATTCACTATAGAAGACTCCAACTTACAGTACGCCAGACATGACTGTATCTAACAACACTCTGACCTCCTTACTGTATCAACCAAAGCTCTCCTGGATTCTGCAGATCTGCACCAAAATCCCAGCCTTGTATTTATTCTATTTCCCGTGAATCAACAAGAACTCCAGTTCTTCAATCAACCTCCTTCCCGGATCTTCAATCAACTGATCTTCTGGAAGTAGTGAGGATTTTTGATAGGTGTTTTGTTTGAAAAGGTGTTTGATGTTTTTTTTCCTTCAATGAATCATATGGTGAAGAGTTTTGCAATTTATCCTTTGATAGAGAGGAAAATATTGTGCTATGTGTTTTGCCAAAGGTTGTTAATGAAAGGCGAAATTTTTGTTTATATAGTAGGTCATTTTTGGTAGTATGGAGCATTTAAAATTCACGAGGAAGGAAAATCACCAAACACCGGATGACACTGTCGCTCGAGCGAAGTGTCGGCGAAACTCTAGCGACGCACTCTCGCTCAAGCGAAGTGGTGGCGAAACTCTAGCGATGCAGGTTCTGTTATTTAGACTCGAGCGAGGTCAAGGCGAGACTCTAGCACCAATCTTGGGCTGTTTTTATCTTCAAAGCATCCAACTTTACCCTAGACCTATACATTAATTATTGTGAAATTGCAACACAAGTCCCTGAACTTTTAGACATTGACAAATTGGTCCTTGACTTTACAAACTCGACATATTAGTCCTTTTGGTCACAGATTGCCAATTACAACATTTTCCTAACAAACTCCCCCTTTGACATTCTGTGACAAAATTACACAAGACAGTCAAGGACACAAAAAAAATGTAACTCCTAACGACCTATTTATTCAACCAAAGCAACTATCTCCTGTTGAACCTGTTTCCTGAAATACAGAAACTCAATACCAAGTGTAAA